TGAGTCAGCAATGGAATTCCAGTTTAGAGATGGATTTGGTTATGGATGTGGTCAACCACCTCAGTAGAGTTGGAGGGAATTATTTTGTGCTGAATAAACATGTAGCCAGAAGAAAAAAAACTGTCAAAAGGTGTGCACCAGGTCTGTATCTTCTCTCCATACCTATTCAATCTGGATGCTAAGCAAGTCTTTCAAGAAGTTGGACTCTATGAAGAAGAATGTGGCATCAGGATAGGAGAAAGACTCATATAGCCTTCCATTTCAATTACATATAAACATTAAAACATCAAAAATTCTCACCACTGGATAAATAAGCAACATCGCAACAGACAGAAAAGACTAAAACTGTCAATGACTTCATCGTATTTGGATCCACAATTAACATCTGTGGTACCCACAGCCAGGAGATTAGAAGACATATTGCACTGGGAAAGTCTGCAGTCAGGGACTACTCCAAACCACTGAGGAGTAATGATGCCAGTTTGAGGACTAAGGTGTGTCTGATTCAGGCCACGGTCTTTTCAATAACTTGCTATGCTTCTGAGAACTGGATAATGAATAAGGACGACAGAATAAGAGTTGATGCTTTTGAGCTGTGGTGTTGGAGAAGACTGAATTCCATAGAATGAAAATGAACAAACAGATATGTCTTGGAGAAAGTACAGTCAGAGTGTTCCTTGGAGGCAAGGTGGACAAATCTTAGTCTAACATATTTCAGGCATGCTGTTAGAAGAGGCTTTTCCATGGAGACATCATGCTTGGAAAGGTGGGAAGGTCCTCAAAAGAGAGGAAGACCCTCAACCAGATGGACTGACACAGTGACTGCAGCAATGGGCTCAAGTATGTCAGAAATAGTGAAGATGGTAAAGGACAGGACAGGGTTCAGATCTGTTGTTCACAGGGTTGCTATGAGTTGTACTGGACTTGACAGCACATAACAACAACAACAACTGTTAAAGGTACTTTAGGAGATACATGATTTGCAAATACTTTCTCTCAACCTATTTCTTTTCTATACATACTGTAACAGAATATTTCACAGAGCAAAAGGTCTAATTTTGAGAAAGTCCAAAGCATCATTTTTCATTTTACAGCTCATGTTTTCAATGCCTCTCTAGAACATGTTTATCTGCCACAAGATCACAATGCCTTTCTACTATGTTTTCGTCTGAAAATGTTAATTTTACATCCTTTAAGTCTATTATCTATTTTGAGGTTTTGTTTCAATATAGTGAGAATGAATCATAGATTTGTGGGGTATGTTTTTTTTCCAATTTGGATATCTGATTATCCATTTTTATCATTTTGGGGAGTAAAAGTATTATCATTGAATCAGCAACCTGCTTTTGCAAGTCTTGTTTATTTTCAAGATCAGTTGTCCATATATTTGTGAGTTACTTCTAGATTCTCTATTCTACTGCAGTGATGACTGATGCTCACTTTACCAGTTTTTAATACCACAGTTTTATGTCTTGAATTCAGGCAGTGTTAACCCACTGTGTTTTCTTTTTTATTAGAAATAAATATTAGAGTCTGTCAAATGATTGTCCATCTATTCAGATGATCAGGTGGTTTTTCTTTTTGAGTCTGTTAGCTTTCCTTTTCCAATTAGCTTTCTATCAAAATGTCATTATATTCTCATAATTTTAATCCTTCCCTCCCCTCATAATTCCCATACCTTTGTCATTATACAGCATTCTGCATAATTCAATCAGTTCTACCAGGCCTTTAATTCTTTTTTCAGTTCATTAATCCTGACAAATCCATCCTTCAATTCTCTCTTAAACATATCTCCTGACTCTTTGTTCTTTCATTTAAATTTCTAAAACTTCTACTAGGGATACCTGGTGGCTTAGTGGTAAAGGACTGCACTACGAATACAAAGGCACATAGTCCTAATCCACCAGCTGCTTTGCAGGAGAAAGATGGACAATCTCTTCCCGTGCAACGTATTGCCCTTGAAAACTCTGTTAGAAGGTCATCTATGGGTGGGTTCTGAGTCAATGGTACACAACAACTTCTACTGAGTTCTTTTTAAGATTTTCCTAGCTCTTTTTAAACAACTATTTCTTCCTAATTTATTTTTTAAAAAAGAAATATTCCACATACATACTTTAGATTCTTCATCAGATAATTCAAATATCTATAACCTTTAGAACCCTTTAACAATTCAAAAAGTTTAGTCTGTTTTGCCATCTTATTTTTCTGTAAATTTTCTCTCATAATTTCTAATTTATAACACAAGTGATTTTTTTTCTTTAGTGTGAGCTCATATTTGGCTGATCATAATATGCAGAAAATTCTGGTGGGTAAAAACAGAGATGCCTTCCTTTGGAAAGGACTTCCATTTACCTCTCACTTACCAACTCAAAACTACCTTCCTAGAATTCCACTTAAAAATGGCCCCCACTACAGATTCATTCCTTTTTCTTAAGAGTCTAAATCTACTGTGCTGACTCTATCTTTGATATCGACAACTCTGACCTCCTCTCCATCAGAAACCTGAGTTTTTGCATTCACTTAATGTTCACCAACTTCTATTATTTCATCCGTGCATGCTCTTCTTACAGAATTCTCTTATTATTTGCAGGTCTGTTGTTGCTGTATAATGTGGAGGCAGAACTGACCCATAGTTGACCCTCCAAGTGGGTTCTCAGAGACAGTTAATCACACAGAAGGAGACTCCCATTTTCCCGCAGAGCAACTGGTAGCCTCAGATCATGTGCCACTGGGATTGCAGTGCAGCTTCTTGTCACTAGGCCACCAAAGCAGTGAAGTTCTAAATATGAAGAATTGAAATATGAAGTTCTAAAATCTTTTGGTGAGGAGATTAAGTATTGGGCTGCTAAGTAAAAGGTTGGTAGTTTGAATCCAGTTGCTCTAAGGGAGAAAATCAGGTAATCAGCACCAATAAAGACAAGTGACCTTGTGATCTCTATGGAGTAGTCCTTCTTGGCCTCTAGTCTTAAGTTCTACTTGGTCTATAACAGACTTGATGGTGGTCTGTTTGATTTTATGGGTTTATAGTTGGAGTCTCTTAATAATACCACCACACTAGTAAAATTAGAAACCTTCTAATCTTTATAGATAATAACATTTCAAAATTAAATTTAACTCTTTTTTCATACTTCAAGATGCTACAGAGTTAAAGTAACTTTTTCACAAAACCAAGAAGATTTCATATTTAAGTATCCTATAATTTTTCCAAGTAGTCTTTATTTCTTTACATTTACTATCTTCTGAGAAGTCTTTAATGCTATTATCAACTCATCTGATAGGTCTAAAAGGGCAAAAGAAAACACATTACTTTTTATAGTCAGAATTCTCATTAGTACTATAGCAGCTCAAAATGCTGAACACATTCCAAATTTAGTTTAATGTATCCTACACACATGATTACCAGATTCTGTTCGATGATAAAAATTGCTGGCTTAAAAAATTAAAGTACCATATCTAAACTCCTACACACAGCTAAACTGGCTTAATTCCACGGATGAGAATCTACAACCTGTTATCCACTGTGTGTATCCTCAACTATCAATAATTTGCTGTACTCACTTTTAAGCAAGTGTTATATATAGTATTAATCATTATATCTAGAATGCTTAATTGGTTTTAAAACAGAAATTGGTGGTATAGTCTGCAGAAAGCTGTGCTGCTAACCTGAAGGTCAAGCCTCCTAGCACTTGGAATCCACCGGTCACTTCAAGGGAGAAAGATGGACCACTTCCTACAGAGCAATTTACATCCTTCAAAACCCAAGGAGGGGTCAACTATGAGCCAATTCCAACTCTACGGTAATGAGTTTGAATTTTTTAAATCATGAACTTAAAACGTTTATTTAAAATGAAATGATTTATTCATTATTCTGAAAATACAATATAGGAGACAAAGGAATATGCAGTGTTGAAGTATTATGAATATTTAATGAGAATTCCTAGGTGTGGATGCATCTTTGCACATTAGAGTGTAAACTTAAAATTAGAGGGATTTTACAAGTTATCCAGGGCATTTGTTAAGTTAAGCAGAAGGAAAATTAGCTCTCAATTAAGAAACAGCATAGATAAAAATATGGATACAAAGGACATTCAAAAGACTCAACAGTGAAACTAAAATATTTCTATGATGTGTTAAATTTGATAGGGCTCTTGATCCAGTTATATATTATAGTCAACTCATTTACATCCTTTTTATTCTTTGATACATTTTCTGCAATATGTTGAACATCTACTGCAAAAACTTTCTAAATTTAAAAATAAATAAATTTTTAAAAACTTTCTAAATTTTAAACTACTAAAACATTATTCAGAAATGACCACCATTGAGGATATCTTCTCTGCCCTTGAAGGTTCCTAAGATAAGGTTCTGCATACTAATATAAATAGTTCTGTTTATCAACTACAATGAAACAGCATAGCAAACACCAGGCAGAACTGGAAATACTAACTCAAAAATTGAAGTTTTAAAAACCTAAATGCTTCTTTTTTTGCCCAATAAAAACAAATTATTTAATCATTTTGACAACATTTCAGAAAATGAAGAAAAACTGATCTCACTATTTTTATAGATACAAAATTACTAATTATTAGACCATACACTCATACAATGAGTCATGACACATTCAGATATAACACATTCAGAGAGTGTTTTCGTGTAATGTCCTGCACCCAGCTTGTGGTAACCATGTTGCAGAACAGAACTGAGTCCCAATGGACTTCCTCCAACAGCTGTGGGCTTTGGGAAGTAGATTGTCAGGCCTTTCTTCTGAGGTACTTCTGGATGAATTTCACCTTTTTTTTTGGTCAGTAACCACGTGCTTAACTATGTGAAGCCTCCCTAAGCTTCCTATTTCCCTATCTATTTATCAAGTAAAAAGAAATGTTATGGTTGTTAAAAAACATACCTCCCATTTGTTATTTGACAGATAGTTAATATACAAGTAATGAACATGAATGATGTGGGCCAAAGAAACAAAAGAGAAAATCTAATTTTAAACATACCTTAACAATTTCTTCAATGAAACAAATGTGAGAAACGGGATCTCTCTTCTTGGTTAATACCTTTTGTAGATGTTGTACCTAAAACACAGGAGGCAGGGATATTTAACTAGGCTTTTCCCATTGAAATAACAGAAAAGTTGAGGCTTACCTTATATAGAGTTCTTCAACTTTCTAAGCACTCAGAATATATATATATCAATCACACAGCAGGTAGCTAACAGGTATTCTGAGTGCTTAGAAAGTTGAAGAACTCTATACAAGGTAAGCCCACTTGGAATAATCAAGACTTAAACCATAGTGGGGTTGTGCCCACTCTCTGAATTATTTACCTGTCCACAAATAGTACAGATGTGATCCATAAGTTTCTCCATGTTGGTCCAGAGAGAAGCACGGAAAGCAGCAGTGTTTCCTGGGGCTGGCATGGTAGATCGCCCGGGACCCCCTACTCACCAGTGACAAACATGAAAAGAGGACATTTTCTAAATGTAGCAAAATCTGCATTATTACAAAAAATGCATGCACACTTACAAAATAATTTCTTTTAGGATATACTTTATTGCATATAAAAGAATCTCAATCTTTTGTACTTCAAAAAGGGAAGATACATTTATACACAAATCCAAGAATGATACAATGAAATTCATGGGAATGGATTCCAAAAGCAGGAGCATTAGAGAGTTAAGAATAAGGATGGAAAACATGAGACTGTGCCCTTCACAATGTACTTTTTCATAGAGGTTTGACTCTTTGTTCATAAATATTTTAATATAAGATTAAATTTAAAAAGTTTATAGAACAACTCCCAAAATGGAATACAAATATATCTAATGGAATAGAAAACTGATAACAACTAACTCCTGGGGTGGGGATGGGGAAGAATTAATTCAAGTAATTTTAAAGGACAGAACCGTGAACAATATGCTTTCAGTGAAATATATTTTATGGGCATAAAGAATTGCAAAAAATTGTTGACTCTTACTTACAGATTTATTGCCAAAAATAGTTTGATATAGTAATTCTGAAATTAGATCCGTTGTTTTGCAGGAGAAAGCAAACAAAAGTTCTCACTGAAAATTGAGCAGATATTTAAAACCGTAATGGGAAGGAGAAAAAGAAAGGTTCCACTTTGGCCACTCTGAGAGCAGAGAGATAAGAATCCCTTGGTCCTTGCAATCACTTGTTATGCATCAGAGAGTTGGACAATGACTAGGGATGACAGAAGGAGAATTGAATACCTTTAAGCCGTGGTGCTGGAGAAGAGTACTGAATGTACCATGGACTGCCAAGAAAACAAACAGATTCATCTGGAGAGGGTTAAACCAAGCTACTCCTTGGAGGCAAGGATTCTGGGGCTTTGTCTGACATACTTTGGGCATGTTGCAAGGAGGGACAGGTCCTTGGAGAGGGACATCATGCTTGGGAGGGTGGAGGGACAGCGCAAGAGGGGAAGACCCTCCAAGAGACGGATTGATTCAGTGACTGGGGTAATCAGGATGGGTGTGTCAGAGGCAGCGCAATTGGCACAGGATAGAGCAGGGTTTAGGGCTGTTGTACATAGGGTCGCTATGAGTCGCAAACGACTCGATGGCACATAACAACAACAACAACATATCATTTCCCAATAAAAGAAACCACAGCTTGCTAAAAAAAAAAAAAAGAACTGATTCCAAATTTGGGGCAGTGAAAATACAAGGTGAATTTCATATACATTGTGCTAAAGACAAACGTAGATTCTATCAAAAGGAGGTGGCTGACAGGGATTTCCACAAAACAAATTTGGAATACTGCGACATGTCTCTACAGGAGTTCCTTAAAATTAAGTTTTAAAACTATCTGCACTCTGAAATAAGAGTATTAAGAAAAAGTGTAAAACTAATACATTTATGATACTGCAATTTTTTCATTTTACCTAAAGAGCAAGCACCTAATAAATGAGAACAGAATAGGAGGGATCTTTGTGAAAATTAGAAAATAGTTATCATATTCCTGTAACATGTAAGAAATAGTTTCATTGTAAACAATTATAGGACTCATCAACTCACCTTTTTTAAACATTTTTCTAAAAAATGTGATTATTTGCTTATATTCACATTAAAGAAACTGAAGCCAAGAAAAGACCATTAGTAGATAAAAGAGTTTTAGAGGCCCGATTTTTTTTCTTACTTACTAAATTTTTCTTACTTATTAATATATTTTTTTTTCATCATAAGCTAAACATATCTTGTTTGAGATACAAATGTGACAGAAATAACCATATGGTTAAACATAGAAGAGCTGTATAAAGTAGGAATAATTAAAACAAGAAGAGAAGTTTAACAGACTCATGAAACAAAATAAATGCCATTATAATCTAAGTTTTATTAAAGTAATAAATATCTAAGTGTGACTGCTAGTTAACAACTGTAAATGTCTTTTCCTCTACTCTTTCTTTGAAAGTCACTGAAAGTGAAAACGAAAAAGTAGAGAGGATGATCTACTTCAGATAAACGAAAAAAAACAACTTGCCAGCAAAAACACCAAACCTATGATTAGGAAAAATATATGTCCCAAGTTGTAGCTTAACCAAAATGAAGAAAAATCAAACAGCTGATATTTTAAACTATTACTGTTCTCAGGTGGAGTCAAGTCCGTCCTAACTCAAAGTAACCTTCATGCAACTCAATACAACACTGCCCAGTCCTAGGCCAATTTCACAACTGTTGTTTTTGAGTCCATCCACTGTTGTAGTCATGTCAATCCAACTCACTGAGGGTCTTCCTCTTTCCTGCTTACCTGCTACTTTACCAAGCATGGTATCTATCTCTAAGACCTGTCACCCTGGGTAACATGCTCAAAGCAGCACTGTGGTAATACGTCACTGTTCCTTCTAAGAGTCTTTGCAGACGCATCTCTTCCACGGCAGATCTGTTCATTCCTCTAGCAGTCTATGGTGTCTTCAAGTGTTGCTTTTACAGAAATGCTAAAAATTAATGTCTCTGACAAACAGAAATTTTACTGACAGTTTAAGGGGCTGCTGCTGTTAGGTGCCATCAAGCGACTCTATGAGCAACAGTTTTGAGCCCTGCCCTATTCTCAATACTCATGATCTCTTTCTGGCTCCAGTTCACTCTGGCAGTCATCATTCCAATCTATCGCACTAACGCACTTTCACTGACTTTCTACCTTTCTAAGCATGCTGTCTCTCTCTCTTCATGGACTGATTCTTCCTGATATTGTGCCCAAAACAAGCGAGATGAAGTTGCATCATCCTTGTTTCTAAGGGGAACTCTGCTTGCAATTCCTCAAGCCATATTTGTTTGTTCTCTTGGTAATCTAGGAGAGTGTCAATATTCTTCACCACCATCCCATTTCTTCTTCTGTCATACTAATCCATGGGCCAACTTTCAGATGCATACAAAGAAACTGAACATTCTGTGGCTTGGATCAGGTGAAAGACATTCTTGCCATAGCTGAGATCTGCATATATAGATGCCTTCATACTTGGCACATTCATCTCAAATCCAATCAAATATAAATCAAAGGTTCAGACTGCTGAGATCCTTTCCTACAGGCTTCCTGACCTATTTCCTCAACAAATAGCCAGGATCTGTCAAAGATTAATATTTACTAGAAACAAAGCAATGCTGGTTTTAACATAGTCATTGTCACTTAGTCCTCTCCAACTCACGAAGTCCCCAGTCAGGTTTCCCAAGTTGTAAATCTTTACAGTAGGAGACTATCCATATTTTCCCCAAAGGAACACAACTGATGGGTGGATTCAAACAACCAAGTTTTGGTTAACAGTTTGTCACGTTACACACCAGACTATCAGGACTTCTTTTCTCAATCTTACTGCCATCACTTCAGAATCAACTTATAGCTGACCCTCCAGTGGGTTTCTACAGCTATAAAGTGCACACGAGACTGTGCTATCTCCTGAAGTTGTTGGAGGAATATCGTTATTAGATACACTGGAAAAGAATATGGGAGGGGGAGAAAAAGGAACACAAGCAAAAAATCTATGACAATCATAGCTCATTACAGTAACTCACCAAGAAACCAAGAAGGAAGTGTTACTCAGGTATTCTTCTAGTATTTCAAAGTAGTTATTGAAAACTACACCATCGACATGTATATTACAGAATTTAGATACAACAAGAAATTGTAATGATCAAGGGAGAATGCAGACATAAAAAAACAGGTAAGAGGAAATAATACAAAAGCAAACAAAGTAATAAAACATTATTATGGGGAAGATATGTAGAGAAAAGAACAAGGACAACAAATCTGAAAGGATTAAAATTAAGAGTTCGCCAAACCAAAAATATTTATGTATACAATGCAAGAAAATTTTTCGTAAAAGGGAATATTGTTGTTGTTATTAGGTGCCATTTAATCGAGTATGACTCATAGAGATCCTGTGAACAAAAGATCTGAACCTAGTCCTGTCTTGCACCATCCTCACACTTCCTGACACACAAGAGCCCACAGCAGCAGTCACCAAGTCAATCCACCTGGTTGAGAGTCTTCTCCTTCACTGACCCTCCACCCTTCCCAACATCATGTCCCTCTCCAAGGAATAGGCCCTCCCAGCAATATGCACTAAGTATGTGAGGGAATATACTCAGTGAAAAATAAACTGATAATGAGCATTCAACTCCATGACATTATCTTGAGGAAATGAACACATTTAAAAGGAAAGGAACCATTTAGGTATTCATGGAAAAACACAGTCAGGTTTCTGGCTTAGTCTTTTCTACAATCACACTAAAACACAACAACTGAAAGAACAACTGTTCGAGGGGAATCTCTACGTCCTACATGTCTCACACGGAGGTATTTCAACTAAAGTATCATTCTTGCCTTCTTGTTCAATTGCTTACTCATCTAGTGAAGAGGAGTGACTTAACTGATTAATGAATTTAGATACAAAGCTCAACATGAATGATTCAATTTCTTCCTTTCTCTCTTGACAGAGAAGTTTCTACATAAAAGACCCATCCTGGCTCATGCTCTACACATGGCAAGTATAGCCAAGGAGACTTAACTGGAAAACAGTTAATTTCTAAAGAGATTACTAAGAAATCCATCTTGCTACAGACATAAGCAATGTCTACCTTGAATCAGTAATAAAATTGTCATTTTTATTACAATTGCTTTTCCCTCGCACCTGTGTTTCACTTGCTTTAAAATTTAGTAAGGAGAGAGTTGTCACCACAGCTATAAAATTTTAAAAGAACATAAATAAGAATTTATATTTGGAGTCAAATTATTACTTAAGTATAAAGGCAAGAGGTAGTCAAGTACTGTGACTAGTAGTGTTCAAAATGGCCTTCTCGCCACTGAATTTGACTTTGCCATGTCAATGCGCGTGAATAGACATGTCACCTATCTACAAGGAGACTGGCCAGTCTTATTATTAAATTGAGAAAATCAGGGGAGCTCTGGTGGCCTAGTGGTAAG